ATGGATCCCAATGCCCTAAGCATTTTAAGTCTGCTTGTAAATCCCCCCAGGAACTCTATGAGGTACATATATTATTATGGYCATTTTATAAGTGGGGAAACTGAGGCACAGAGAATTAAGAAACTTGGCCAAGGTTAAAAAGCTATTTAGCTTCAAAGCCTGGGCTCTTATTTACCTTACCAAACTACGGAGATCCCCTCCTTATTTTCAGTATTTCAAACATATAACAATTAATTAAGTCAGTCAGTCTCATGGAATCATTATTATTATCCCATGCCAATCAGATGTTCTATAAGCAGATGTGTTCTTAATTAATTTTGATGGAGAAATACATTATGGCTTTAATAATCATGTATTCAGTGTCTGCTCTACGTAGTATCAACACCATACTGATTAACACATGGTACTTCATTAATGAAACTTTTTTCATTTCAATCTTGGCTCTGCAAATGGGTAGGGGAACAGAGAAGATAATACGAGGCATTGATAGYATGAGAGAAGGTGGGAGCCTCCTCTCTGCCCATGACACTGAGATGAGGGGAACTGAGGCCCAGAGAGGGGAAGGCACTGGCCACGACACGAAGTTAGTCAGGGGCAGGTGAGACCCGCAGTCCCTGCTCCCAGCCCCAGGCGCTTTCCTCCACCCAAGGCTGAAGGTGGCAGCCTGGGCTTGTGACCAGCTAGGCCAGAGGCAGGAGGTCAGGCAGGCAGGCCAGCAGCATCTGAGGCCAGTGGGAGCAGGCAGCCCAGCCCCGGCCAGCCAAGGCCATTGCCAAGGGCTCAGAGTGGCTAGTTGTGCTCTGACTAGGAAACAGGCCTCAGAGCGAGAAGGATCAGCGGGGGAGGGGGGATGGTAGATGCACCCCTTCAGGCTCTGCGTGACCCCAGAAGATGGTGACAGCCAGTGTCTGAGCTCCTTGCTGAGGCCAGGAGGAAAAGAACAGCTACCTGGAGTTCCCGTCCTATCTCTTAGTTTCTCGCTACCCTCAAATATTTATACTAATAATGAGTTCTCATACCCAGGTATATAATTAATTTTTATGTCCAGTCACCTGGCTTCCTCAAGGCACTTTCTATTTCTCCAGCCAGGTTCCAGAGCCATCTCTTAGCTAAGCTGCTCCCAAGTTGGAGTTGCTGGCCCTAGTTGAATGAACTGACTCTGGTTACCCATGAGCCAGAGATCAGGGGAAAAAAAATATTGGTTTTGGAATCAAGTATCCTGGGTTATAGTCCTGGCTCTATCATTTACCAGCTGTGTGAGCTTGGRCAAGTAGCTTTCTGTCTCTGGTCTTTGATTTCCTCATCTGTATAATATAAGGACTGAACCAAATATCAATCACTCAGAGCCTGTCTGGCTCTGAGAACCTTTAAATCTAAGGTGGGTTGAAGGAAGGGAGACAGAGTGAGGGAATGGGAGACAGCCGGGTGAGGACTCAGAGAGGCAGCAGCAAGTGTCTCATGGTCAATCTTGACTGCCCAGCCCAGGAGGTACTGTGAGAGAGGATGCCCCAGAGGGACAGCAGAGCCCCTCAGCCAGGGCTGGGCAAGGAGGAGATGGGTAACACCTCTTACTCCCTCCCTCGCAAGGCCAAGCCTGACGTGGGCAGGGACCAGGGCGGCCGACCTTCTGGCAACAGATGGGGCTTGCCAAACTCCCAGCTACTTCCCAGAAGTCCGGGGCCTCCTGGGAGTGGCTCCACCCCGGCTGGCTGTCCTCCAAGCTGGGCACCCACGTCAGCAGGTCCTCCCAGATCCCCTGCCCTTTCACCCAGTGACATGGGACAGGCAAAGGGGCAGGGCATGCTCACCTGGGACCCCATACTTGGAGAGGCCTCCGTCTCCCTGGCCATCTCTCCCCCCTCCCCCTCCTGTTGTGTCCTGTTCAAGTCAGCATCTGAGGCTGAGGCTCCAAGGGTGACGCTCCTCGGTCGCCCTTCTGGTCACCCTTCCTACGTTGCCACACTGACTCCAGTGCCCCGGGGGTGCACACTGAGTCAGGACGGCTGGGTGGGCTTGGCCAGCTCACAAGGCCTCTCCAGGCCTCCTGACCCCAACTGTGAAGTGGAGCCGGTCTCCTGGGAAGCTCTAAGGACTAAGTTAACAATGTCCCCGAGGAGTCAGAGCTTCTGATTGATAAGCCCTGGCCTGCAGTGGGAAGTGATACCCTTGGGGACATCTGACCCCAAGGGGCAGGCCCACCCGGGCCAGGGCCCCCCTGGCCAGGGCAGTGGCTCTGTCCTGGTAAGAGCCTTGGTCAGGCCTGCGTGAGTCACTTGCTTTGAGCGTTACTAAGTTCAACAGGAGGAGGCCGGGGGCGGGGATAGTCGCTGCGAATGCTGGGCCCCATGGGAATGGGTGCTGGGCAGTAGCGGTGAAGACAAGCAGCAGGACAGGCACTGTGAGCAAAGGTGGCAGTGAGGGGGCCGGGCAGGTGGCCACTGGGTTTCCTAAAAGGCATTGGGCCCAGAGAAGTCACAGTCTATGAACAATCGCCCAGCGAGGAGGCGGGGATGGTGTTGGTGGTAGATGGGAGTCCCCTACCCTGACCCCGCAGAGAGCCCTGCTCCCTGGACTAGGTCTCAGGCACTCTCCCCCAGGGTCCCATCATGCTGGTTCCAGTGCACACTCTACAATCCCAAAGCACTTTCATACCCAGTTCAGAAGAACTTTCACACCTAGTATCTTCTTTACTCCCCAGTACAGCTCGAGCAGGCAGCCAGGGCGGGGATTAATAGCTTTAGTTCAACCCCTGCCCAGTATTACAAGGCAAAGAAGCCCAGAGAGGGAAAGGGATTTGCCCAAGACCACACAGCTAGGGCCAGGCCCACACTCCCCACTCCCTGTGGAGTCTTGTCACCAGTGCTGCACCCGCCCTCTAGCCTGTGCAGTGCTGGCCTTGGGGACTTGAAGGACAGGATAAGCAGCAGCTCTGGCTCGGGACCTGCACAGCTGTCGAGGTGAGTTGTGGTCTGGCTGCTGCGGCCCAGCTGGCGGGCACAATCTGTTCTCACCCTGCTGGGCCAGGGATGGGCCAGGACCGCTGCTCAGCAGCTCCGTTGTCCAGGCCTCTGACAAAGGGGACACAGCCACTGGCTCGATGCCACAGTGGGGGTGGGGGAGCCCATTCTAAGGGCAGCCCCACACCTCACACACCCTGAGCAGCTGTTCCCAGACCTCATTGAGCTTTAAGATTCAAATGGCCCTAGGCTGGCAGAGATGCCAGCTTAACGGGAACACAGCTGCCCCCAGACCTGGTGCTGTCTTGGAAATGTGAGAGTCACCTGGCACTTCATCCATTCTTCATCAGTGAGCCATTATTGAGCACTTTATATGGACCAGGCTTTAGGCTAAGTGCACCGCCTACATTATTTCACTTATTCCTCCCCAAAGCAGGTGACTCATTAGCCCCATTTTACAGATATGGAAACTAAGGTTAGAAAGGTTTCTCTCTTCTCTCTCTCTCTCTCTCTCTCACACACACACACACACACACACACACACACACACTCACACACTCCACAGTCAGGGCAGATCAGATACAAAAGTGTGCAGTCCCCTGCCCAGCAATTTAGACATCAAGTGCATTTTGGGTCTCCATGGGGGCAATGTGGCTGACAATGTGGAGGTGGGAGTTAGAGAGGAACATGACAGGCCTTCCAGTGACACCCCCCACAAGGTAGTGTTTAGATGTATGTCATCCAGGGCCCCAGAGTTCAAAGCTGAACATTACCAATTCCAGTCAAATAAGCAGAAATCACTTTCGGCTGTGAGGAATCCAGGAGGACTGCATGGAACAAGAAGAGTTTGGTTAAGATTTCTTAAGGCTTCGAAAAAACGCAAAATTGGAAATGCTGCCAGCATTATTTTATTAGCATAATTATATTAATAAAAGAAATCAATACCTCCACAGCTTGGTGAAAGACAGAGGTTCAGACCAGTGGACCTCATTTTACAAATAAAAAAAAAAAAAACATAATCAGAAAAGGAGAGTAATTTGCCCAAGGTCACAGCCACTAGTGACAGGGCCCGAACTTGTTTCCAGAGTGTCTAAGTTCCCATCCAGGGTCATTTTCTGTCCAGGTAACCAGGCAATGGTTGGCTCAAAGGGAGGCTTTGCCTCTGCTTGGCTCCCGACTCTGTGAGAACTGGGGGTGGGGGTGGGGTTTACAGAGACTGCCTGGTTAGTAACAGTAACACACCTGGAAGGACACTCAGCTCCTGCTTGGCCAAGGGTAATGTCATATCCCCATGAGGGCATATCCTACTTTGGGGCCAAGACCAGGGAAGACTCCAGGCCCCAATACCAGATTGGGAGCTGCAAAGACCTGGAGCACTTACTCCTCTGTCTGGGAAGGCCAAGGCAGTTGGTCTCCTTTCTCTTTATCGGCCACTGCAGGGCCAGCAGCCCCAGGGGCCTACCACTCCCATAGCTTTAGCTGGCAGCAGGGAAATCATCCAAGGCTGGTCCCTGCCTCATTTTCCCTCGCTCCACAGTGAATCCCAGGATATCAGAACCCATTCATCCAAACACCTCCCCTCATAGTCAAGGTCCAAAGAGCTCAGGGAGCATGTCGGAGGTGGGGGCACTAAACTAGAACCCAGTTTTCAAGTGACTCTGGTACTCACACTCCCTCAGCTGCCTCTGGACACAGTTTCCAGCAGTTCTGAGAGCCAGCTCCTTCTCCAGCTACATAAAACCACCTGGGTTTTGAAGCCAAGCAGATTCGAGGTCAGACCCAGGTTGACCTGGGTTGCTCTGCTTCCAAACAGGGTGATCTTGGAAAAAATTACGGGGCCCTTCTAGTTTCTTCCTTCTTACCTGCCTTCTGAAATTGTCACAAGATTATTTGCACAGGCTCAGGGACTAGGGACGCAGATATGCCCACAGGGGTTGAAAGGCCCAGGATCTGCAGGATGGGGAGGGAAGGCGAGGAGGAGGAGACTCTCCGGAAAGGCAGCCCCACAGCCTGTGCTTTCTCTCCTCTTCCCGCTCTCCCCAGGCTATGGCCACGCAGCGCCCAGCACGGATGGCGGCAAGGTGTTCTGCATGTTCTACGCGCTGCTGGGCATCCCGCTCACACTCGTCATGTTCCAGAGYCTGGGCGAGCGCATCAACACCTTCGTGAGGTACCTGCTGCACCGTGCCAAGAAGGGGCTGGGCATGCGGCACGCCGATGTGTCCATGGCTAACATGGTGCTCATCGGCTTCTTCTCGTGCATCAGCACGCTGTGCATCGGCGCCGCCGCCTTCTCCTACTACGAGCACTGGACCTTCTTCCAGGCCTACTACTACTGCTTCATCACGCTCACCACCATCGGCTTCGGCGACTACGTGGCTCTGCAGAAGGACCAGGCGCTGCAAACGCAGCCGCAGTACGTGGCCTTCAGCTTCGTCTACATCCTCACGGGCCTCACGGTCATCGGCGCCTTCCTCAATCTYGTGGTGCTGCGCTTCATGACCATGAACGCCGAGGACGAGAAGCGCGACGCCGAGCACCGCGCGCTGCTCACGCACAATGGGCAGACGGGCAGCGGACTGGGCGGCCTCAGCTGCCTGGGCGGTGGCACCGGTGGCGGCGGCGACAGCGCGCACACCACGGACACCGCCTCGTCCACGGCGGCCCCCGGGGGCAGCGGCTTCCGCAACGTGTACGCCGAGGTGCTGCACTTCCAGTCCATGTGCTCGTGCCTCTGGTACAAGAGCCGCGAGAAGCTGCAGTACTCCATCCCCATGATCATCCCGCGGGACCTGTCCACGTCCGACACGTGCGTGGAGCACAGCCACTCCTCGCCCGGAGTGGGCGGCCGCTACAGCGACACCCACTCGCACCGCTGCCTCTGCAGCGGGACGCAGCGCTCCGCCATCAGCTCGGTGTCCACGGGCCTTCACAGCCTGTCCACCTTCCGCAGCCTCATGAAGCGCAGGAGCTCCGTATGAACCCCCGCGCGGGGCGTGGACCACCTGCCAGTGGGGGCCGGGGCTCCTGACCCGAAGAGCAACGGGGGAGGGGGGTCGGCCAGGAGCACCCCCACCAGCCGCCTTCGGTCCTTGGGATGCCCCCAGTCCCCCACCACCACTGTCCCCCACCTCCCCAACTCCAACTGTGCCTGCTCGCACCAGCCGGCAGGAGACCGGGCTCTGAGGACTCCTGGAGCCCCCATCCGAGCCCAGCATATTCCAAGAAATGTGAAACTTGGGGGGTCTTAGAGGGAAGGCAGAAGCTAGGAGGGAGCCTCCCAACCCTTTTGGAAATCTAAGAAGCTCCCCAGTCCTCAGAGGCCCTGCTGGTACCCAGACCCCCACCTCCCCAGGGGACTTAGTGTTCCACGTTGGTTTGCATCTCTCTATTTATACCTCTGTCCTGCCGGGTCTCCCACCTTCCCTTGGCTTCAAAAGCCAGGGTGTCTTTGTCCAGGTCACCCCCACTCAGTCCCACCCCTCACCCCCTCATCCCCAGCTGTGTGTCCCGGCCTCTCACTACCTTCTGTGTTGTTTTGCATGGCTTCACCTTATGGAGAAAGTGGAAACCTCAGCAGCCCCTAAAGCTAGCCCCCAGAGGGCAGGACAGAAAGAAAGAATAGGCAGGTGGCAGGAGGGGGAGAGGGGAGCARGGGAGGAAAGGCTCTAGGGCTTTGGGCTGCAGGGCAGTGGCTCGGGTGGGTAGACCTAGTGGCCTCTAGTGCATTATCTGGGGGGAGGGGAGGACTCCAGCCTTCCACACACTGCCCTTGAAATCCAGAACAGAACACCAACTGGCCACCCCTGGCTGCTACTGCTACTCATTACCAACTCTTAAATTTGTGGAGTGGGTTTTTAGCTTCCCCAAACCCCATCTCGTCTATTCATTCATTTGAGTCTCACAAAACTCCAAATAGTTCACCAGGGCTGGAATTCTTGTCTCTRTTTCATAGACGAGGACACAGGTGAAGTGTCCTGCCCAAGGTGACACAGAGAGCAAAAGGCAAAGGGGAACGAGAACCCTCTTGCCTGTCATAGCCTGAGTGATGTTCCTTCCAGCTTAGAAGCAAGGTTCCTGCCCCACACATGCAGCATCCTGTGGGCGGCCGAGGCTTAAACCASAACCACAAGCCCCGGACAGGGACCTTGCTGATGCGCAGCTTCTGCTACTCCTGTCCCAAGACAGGGACTCTGAAGGGGCCCTTGTCTCTGGGCTACCTGCTTACAAGCAGGAAAGTCCTTGGGACCAAGGTAAGCAGTCAAGGTCAGGAACTGCAGCTCTGGGCAGTTGGAAATTGGGCAGAGAGGCAAAGACAGCCTGTCTTTGCTGTCCTACTGGGACATYGTCCCTAGCCCCGCAGCAGCCATTGTGGGTACCTGTGTCCCAAGTAGCTACAGATAAGCTATGGCCAAAATCATGAATACTCCTCCGAGCAGGAGGCTTAGACCTCTGTGCCCTCTGCCTGCCCCACCTGCAACTCAGAGGCTCAGGTGGAGTGTGGTGGGTGGGGGCATGCCCTCTACTCTCCCCACAGCTAGAGCTGGTAGAGTAGCTGGGACAGCATCAAGCTGGAGGTGAGGGACCTCTCCTTCCACAGATCGGCCTTCCCATGCTGCTCCAGGGTCAGCTCCTCAACTCTGCTGAGCAAGGTCAGCCCTGGCATTCAGTGAAGCTGGAGAGAGGGGCCTGAAGTATGGTCAGCCTCAAGCTCCACCTCAGCAATGTCCTCTAGGCCCTGGGAACCCCAAGAGGGAAGAAGTCCGGCCTGTCTGTGATCCCATCTCAGTGTAGAAGACCTGGCCCTGGTGCCAAGTGGGGTGGGGCCCAAGGCCTAGAAGAGTGCCCTCTGTTTTTATGTTGGGGGTGGAGGACAGTGCTAGCTGCCTCTGTCCTCTGTGTGACCCTGCCCTCGAGGGGTCAAGTCCCGTCAGACCCGAGGGAACCACAACCAAAGTTGCAGAGAGATGGTGGARAAAGAGGCAGAAGACCCTGGGGCAGAGCACAGCAGCCTGCTGGTCTCCAACTGGGTCTTTCCTTTCCAGGGAACTGGAAGGCCAATGTCACTTCCCCGTCTCACCCAACACACACCGCAGGCAGTCTTTCTGCTTCCCCAATGCCTTATGCCTGGGCACACTGCCACAGAATATGCAATATGTGTGGGTGACATGTCCCCACACCCACACCCCACCCGGGCAGCCCTGAATACCCCAGGCTGTGGCTGCCAGGCCTCCCCTTGGCTCCCCTGCCTATCTGTCTTCACACTGAGAATGGCGCCTAATAAATGCTGTCCATGGAGACCAGGGTCAGGCTCCAGCTCTTCTGTTATCACAAACCCTTACGGCAGAGGGCAGCCACCCCATGGTCCCCAGTCCGGGTCTACAAACACACCTAACTGATCGCCTCAGGCTAATCAGACTGGTCTGCGGGCCTTGGGGAGAAGCCTAATGGGGAGCACTCCTTTCCCTTTTGGGACTTCTCAGAAGATCCAGATTTTCTTACTATCATCCTGGAACACACTATGAGAACAAGAGCTTAGACATCTCCCCATCCTTGTACATCAGTAAACTGAGGCTCATAGAAGGGCAGGTCATTCGTTCTAAGTCATACAACCATGAGTGGCAACCTAGGAGAACTGAGAATCCTCATTCCCATGTCCCTCTCCTCACACAGCCTGCAGTGTCCAGCCTGGCTGGACACGCCCCAGCTACACTGTCAGCTAGGAGTGACATGCCATTCTCTTTCAGTGGACTCCCTGCCTCAATGATCTGATTGACACACAAAAAAATGTCTCTTTCAAAGAAGACATATCACAAACACCTTTCTTCAGGGTACATCTTTTCTCTGAATCTAGAGGTTATACCTCAGATTTAGGTCTGGGCCTCAGAGCCCAGAACAGACCCAGGGAGCAGACCCACCCTGGCCAGCTGGTGACAGCACCCAGAGTTAGCTAACCAGTGGCTTCCAAATTTCAAGGAGCACAATCCACAGTAACATCTAACACCACAGTCTACATACCTATCCAGCCCCCATCTAGCTTTCATAAAATAATATTTGCCAGGCGTGGTGGCATATGCGTGTAATCCCTRAAGCTCGGAAGGCTGAGGCAGGAGGATTGCTGGTTCAAAGGCAGCCTCAGCAACAGCAAGGTGCTAAACAACTCAGTGAGACCCTGTCTCTAAATAAAATACAAAAAAAAAAAAAAAAAGGCGGAGGGTGGGGTGGGTGGTTCAGTGGTGGAGTGTCCCTGAGTTCAATCCTTGGACCAAAAATACATATAAATAAATATGTAAATCCTATTCTATTGCATGTTATAAAATGCTGGTCATCACCCACTCAAGTGACTTCTCCATCTGCTAGTGGTTTTGCTATGTGCAAACTGAAGTATACTTGAGAAATAAGGGGATGAAACAGGGACACTTTCTCCAAATCCTCTCTCTTTCACACACACGACAACTGACAGATAAGACAAGGACCTATAGAAGGGGCTCAGGATTCAAGCAGAAAGAGGTGGCACCTGCACCCCTCTGCAGAGACAGGACACGAGGAGCTTCCCTGTGATGGTACTCCTGCCTGCTCCCTGCTGCGATAGGCAGTCTCCTAGCACATGCTCCTAGGTGGATCAGGGTGGCCACAGCAGAACTGGGGCTTAATTCCCCATTGGCTCACCCACTCCCAAGGCCACCTCATCAAAATCCAGGGCTTATGACCTATGGCACAAACAGCCTCTGCCTTTCCTAGAACAGTTAAAGACACTGAGACCAGAAACTGGGTCATTCTGGAGGTCAGCGATGACAGCACAAGGTTACTTTTAATTTCTTAAAAGTGCTTGCTGGGCAACATGCTGACCCTTGCCCTCCTTTCTTCATCGCAAAATAATCACAAACAGACCTTGTGAGGATCCCCCAGGGGAACCGCACTCCAGTCCCTGCCCGTGGTGATTAGAGCTCAGAATTGCCCATGGTTCTAGAGTGGGCTCTTTATCCGTGGATGACATTGGTGTCGCCCTCCTCACTCCACATGGCATCTGAGGCCTCCCGCTAAAAGATAGACACACGGCAACACGAGAATAGATAACCAGCACTGCAGAGAGAGGATTAGGCAGAAATACACCAAGTCCCCATGGATTTGGTCACTGGGATGAGCCTCAATGGAGTTAGGCACTTCCTGGGGGTCAAGAGAGAAAGGGATGTRGTGGTATCTCTACCCCAAATATGTCCTATGTATGCCTCCTAGGAAAGGGGTTCCTTGGCCAAATCGATTTGGGGAAACACTGCACTCATCATCTTCTCATGGAGCTTCACGAGRCTTCATAGTTTAATAAAGGCTATGAAAATCCCGCAGCACGATGCTGCTTGCCTTTGCTTCGCCCAGCATTGCCAAACTCATTCCTRGCATCAGAGCCTCTGTATGCATGACATCTCTCCATGTCCTGGATTTCCTGAGCACACTTTATGGGAAATGCTCATCTCATTTATGAAAAGATCCTTCCCTCTTACCTTGCCCTAGGTCCTAGAAGGAGTTTAGCTTGTCAGTGCATCTGTGACAACCCCAAATATATATGTGATGCTCAATTATGTGCCAGATCAAACTGAGGCTCAGAGCAGCCCATTGGCCCAAGATCAGGCAGTGAATTGTGGCAAAGCTAGTGTCTAAACCCAGGCCCAGTGGCTGCATTGACCAAGCACATGTCCTCACCCTCCTCCCTGGGTACTGTTTCATGATGGCCCAGGTCTTGAGCAGAGGTTTGGTAGAAGTTGCAGACCTCTCTACAGTGGTCGCTTCTTATTCACAATCGTGGTGAGAGGGGACGCTGTGATCTAAACACACCATCCTGCCAAGATGGCAGATTCTGACAGAGCTGAGAAAAGCTGTTCCCCCTCAGGCCCTCTCCCACCTTTAGGGTTATTTAATTCTTTCTACAGCCTCTGCCCAAACCCCAACAGCCTCCTCACAACTCATCTCAGGAAGCCAAGGCAGGGGCGGGGGTGTCTCAGGGCCAGGGAAGGATGTATTCAGAATGGACGTATGGCCAGAGAAAAGAGCAACTACCCACAGATGACCACGCCCAACTCTGGCCTCATCATTGCCACTGAAGAGCTTAAAACTGATGCTCCCTCTCCATCTCAAAGCTGGGTGCTGGTTAGGAGGCTTAGTGACCCTGTTTCCCAAGTAGGCCCTGAAAAGCCTGTTCTAGGGTAGACTCAGTGCCCTCCTCCTGCCCAGCCAGCCAGATGGGGCCTTGACAGCCAGATGACATCCCTCCAGATACCATCGCCCTTGACAAAAATTGCAAACACACACACACACACACACATACACACACACACACACACACACACACACACACTTTAGATTGTTAGTCCAGTTCCACTGTATCAGGGGAAGGGATTTGGGTTCACAGAGGGAAAGTCATGAAGCAAGATAATGGTGCAGCCAGGATTAGCATCCACATATCCTGACTTTCATACACACATACACACACACACACACACACACACACACACACACACACATGAGGGCCCAGGCTTCTCTGACTCTGATATCAATGAAAGCTACTAATCTCTGTGGTTGAATCACTCTGACGCTGGAAATTTACCACATTCACATCTGGACAAACATTGGGAGACTCACACACCCCACCCCCAGTCTCCCAGCTGCAGAGAGGGCCCTGTGGGCGGTGCCATCCTTAGGGTAGATGCTGTGGTATAACTGCATGGCACTCTCTGGTCAGTGACTGACCGAACCCACCTCAAGAATCTACATTAATGCCATGTTGCTTGTACGGAGCTCTTTCATGCCGTGTCCTCATTAAACCATCAGGACAGCACTGTGATTTAGGTGAGAACTAATGTCCTCATTGCACAGATGACAAAACTACAGTCAGGAAGCCCAAGGTCCTGCTAGAATGCACTGTGTATATGAGGTGCTGAGCAGGGTCCCAAGCATTTCCTTGGTGCCTGGTGTGCAGGGCTGGACTACATCCAGATCCCAAGCACTCCAGGACAGCCAGTGTCCCACTGTTTACAGCCTCCCAGTCCTCTGGCCATGCCTCTTGGATTGGGAGGGGTTCAGGTGGACCTGGCTCCCAGAACTTGTGAGCAAAAGGAGACATGGAGTTAGAAGCATTCCTCCATGTCCCCCAGAGCCCTGGACATGAGATCAAGAGCAACAGAATGTCCAGCCAACAACCCCTGCCCTTCAACTGAGGGGACAAAGTTTCCTGGGTAAAGGTCATGCCTTTGACCTGAGCCAGCTCCCCACATCTACACTCTGCCATAGTTCCTGTTCCCTGGAGGAAGGCACATGTGACCAGGTCATCCCTGACTAAAATACTCTGGTTTGACTGCCAGGCCAGAGAGGCAGGAAGACCCATGGCCTTCTCTGGACCCAGAATCAGGGTTCAAGGGACACTGTCCAATCAGATCAACAGGTCCAACCTGGGGGCCTAGAGGCACAACAGGACGAGGAGCTTGGCAAGCCAGTTTGTGCTCTGACCTCTCTTTAGTCCCCACCCACCCCCCATCTTTGTAGTACAAGCTCTCATTCTGACTTAATCATATGTCCAACTAAAGGCCAAGACACTTTGGCTTCCAGGGTACTGAGTGTCCACGTCCTTGCCCACTTCTCTCTAGAGGAGAGGCCAGAGGTCAAGGGTATGGTCCTTAAAGACCCCCTGACTGAAGCTCAGTCACTGTGCTGCACCTTGGGCCTGGAATGCAGTCCAGCCACACAAGCAGGGTCCCCCCAGCAGCTGCCCTACAGGGTGGTCACTGTCCTCACACAAGACACCCACTGAGCAGCCCCGGTAGCAGCTCTAAAGGCCATAACGGCTCCCTTTTCCTGAGACAAGAGCTGCTTCTAGTGTGGATTTGCCTCTGAGGCTGTCACCAGAGGACAGATGGCATCATTCAAAGAATTCAAGAAGCCCTCCCTCCACTCGGCCAGGTGCCTCCAAGCCTTCTCAGGTAATGCCCCAGCTCTTCAGCCACACCTCCTGTGACGGCACCTATTGACCCCTTCACCAGCTGGTGCCCCTATCAGGAAGACCTTCAGAGTCCTCTGCTCCTGTGGCTTGATATACATGTGATCCAGCCAGTAAAGAGAGGGTGACCATCCCTGCCCTGCTGTGGATGTTGTTCTATTAATGCCGCCCAAACACACATCAGACTTTCAGGCGGCCAACCCTCCCGCACTTGCTACTATGGCAGGCATGGTTGGTTACCTAACCAAGAGCTCTTCCTATACTCTTCTGCTTGCTGCTGAGGTCTG